CTGATCACCAATCCATATCCCAAACAAAGTAAACGAACCAGTTTCAGTGATGACTGATGTACCCTCACAAACAGCGTCTGGTCAGATGATCTCTCAGTCTCACTCACATTTGAGAACCAGTCCCCATGTGACATGCTTTGGACTTACAGTTCGTCCTAACCCAAAATACAAAGACTAAAAAAACTAAACATGCTATTGAATTATACATTCATGATTTGTTTCATTGTTTGTCTAGATTAAACAGACCAGTTTTGTGTTGTGACTGCACAATACACTTAACGCAACAGTTACTTGGTATTGATATGGTTTCAGATTTTTGATGTACCTTTGCTGTTCTAATGAAGGTATAGGTTAAAAGAGTGGGAGACAATTTCGAATTTTGGTATTTCGATATAATGTGTCCACTCTATGTGGTTGTCATTAAAGCCATGACTTTTGAAGTTACAGTCTACATTTGTTTTACATTATACGAGTCAACTATCATGAAGAAACTGTAAATCTGGACACAGTTTTCAGTCCTGCAGAACAAGTGTAGTAATTAGGATGCAGCATCACTGCAGTTTTAAAGTGTGTTCTCCTGCTTTCTGCAACTTGTGTTCTTTAAGTGTTTGTCTGAGACTGACATCTATGTGAATTAACGTACTCATGTCATGACTTCTGGAGTTTAAATCTACAGCCATCAGTTTCACTTTTACTGGATTCATCTGTCCACGTGATGATTTAGTGACAGTCGTTTTATGCGAGATTTACAATTATCCGTTTGTTCTGCAGAAGCAGCTGAAGGAGACGCACAAGACATTCCAGCAGAGAACCCAGCAGAGAGAGAAAGATCTTCAGCAGCTGAGAGAGGCTGTGGAGTCTCATAAGGTGAGTCTGGAGAAGAAGAGAAGTTTGTCTCAGTCTCAGTTCAGACTCTCCTCTTTCAGTCCCACCGCATTATCAGTTCAGATAAGTAACCTTTAAACTGCCTCTCCCTACTTTTCCTGGATTCATCTGTTCACATGATGATTTAGTGCCAGTAGTTTTCTGTGACATTCACTATCATCTGTTTGTCCTGCAGAAGCAGCTGAAGGAGACGCAGAAGACGTTCCAGCAGAGAATCCAGCAGAGAGAGAAAGATCTTCAGCAGCTGAGAGAGGCTGTGGAGTCTCATAAGGTGAGTCTGGAGAAGAAGAGAAGTTTGTCTCCGTCTCAGTTCAGACTCACTGAAGCCTGAATCACTGTGTGTCCTAACAGCGCTCTGCACAGACAGCAGTGGAGGACAGTGAGAGGATCTTTACTGAGCTCATCCGCTCCATTGAGAGAAGCCGCTCTGAGCTGATACGGCTGATCAGAGATCAGGAGAAGACTGCAGTGAGTCGAGCTGAAGGACGACTGGAGCGACTGGAGCAGGAGATCAATGATCTGAGGAGGAGAGACGCTGAGCTGGAGCAGCTTTCACACACACAGGATCACATCCAGTTCCTGCAGGTAACAGAGATCTAGAAGAACAGGATCATAGTGAACTTGAGCAAGAACCTGCTGTGATAGGAGACTCACAGAGAAACATTTCATGAGTGTCTTATTATATAATCGCCAGTCAGACTCTCATCTGATCATCTTCTTTTGAAAGAGACGCTGCTTACAAATGGCTTTCAGCTCTGGAAATCTCTTAGGAATAATTTCTCTGAGCTCTTTCTTCTGGAAGATATATTTAGCTGTCAAACACCACTAGCGCCACCAACAGTTCAAAACTTCATTAACATTTCACATTTTAACAACATGTTTCCTTCTGATTCATTACGCTATGGTGAAGTTTTCACTAACATTTCAACTTTTTACCTAATTTTTCCTTCTGATTTGTTACGTCATGGTGAAATCAGTGAACTCGATAGTACTGATTCTTAGTAGCGTTCATCAAAATGGGATCAGGTGATCCTCAAACCTGATAAAACAGATTTTTGTTTGCCTGTAGATATTGATGAATTTGACTATGAAGACCCCAAACATTGAGGCAATATATTAGCAATCAGTCCCATCAGGATTTTGCTTTTGAGATTTTTTGGCCTAAAATTACTGAATTTGTGGTGGCATTTTCCTCAAAAATTGTGGAATTATTTGTAATATTTGCAGGCTACTGGTGAAATCAGGTATTATGTGTACTAGCAAATATTTGGCCCAATATACATTATATTCAGTATCTGTCAGACTCTGTTCCATGTCTCGTGTTGTGTTTTCCTCCCCCACGTGCTCCAGTTTGATTATTATGCCCATATTTGTTTTTTTCCTGTTCCTGTCCCTATTTAGTTCTATTGGTTCCAGCTGTGTTTAATTAGTTACTGTGTATTTAAAGTGTGTTCTGCCCCTCGTTTCCCGTCCGCTGTTAAATGTAATTTTGTGTTCTCTGTGTTTCCCGTGTTCCTGTGTTCCCAGCTTTGTTTTCATTAAAGACTTTGGAATTTGGTTTACTCTTCGTCTCCTCGCACCTTCGTTCCCGTGCTCCCAGTGTGAATCGTGACAGAACAGCGGACCTAAACAGTAAGCGTCGCCCCTTCTCCCGTGTCTTTGTTTTCATTTTGAATAGTCTTTTGTTTTTTCCCATTGTTCTCCCCGCGGTTTGAGGACCGCCCTGCTGTCAAGCTCGCCGGCTGGGCCGTTGTCAAGCCTGCCGGCCGCGGCTCACTCAAGCCCGCTGTGCTCCAGTGTTGGCTCCAGCCCCAGAGCTCGCTCCTGTGTCGGCTCCAGCCCCAGAGCTCGCTCCTGCGTGGGCTCCTGTTCCCGAGTATAGCCCACAGAGGGCTCCTGTTCCCGCGTTTATCCCCTGGAG